CACCTGTGACTGTGGTCATGAAAGCCGAGGAAGGTCAGCAATCACAAGCCACTTTATTTTGGCAAGTGGGCACACATTATGGCTTAACCACAATGCTTTCTCTCCTATTAGTGAATAATACAATTTTCCATTAAAACTAAAATAATATTCACTTCCACTTCCTTATGCTTGGGAAGGAGAAGCTAATGATACAAATTATTTTTTCTTCACTCAAACCAAACAGGATTAAATCATTAAGGGTGAAGAGAAAAATGTTCAGTTTCATAGATATTAGCAAGCATAGACCAAATATTTATTGAGTCTCTGACATATATTTAGTTCTTTATTCAGCATTGAATATGAAGTTCATAAATACTCTAGAGCCTATAATTTAGTTGGAAAAGGAAAAACAAAACAACAACCCACTATGATCTAATTTACAAATGATGTTTAAGAGTACAATCTAGTGGTACATCCAGGTTAATGCCGTGTTGTTGCTACTAATAACTGAACTGACAATTAACATTTATTTGAGAACCATGTAACTCTCTAAGTTTCAAACCACTGAGGCAACTAATAGTTGTTGTCCAATAACAGCTCAATTTTAGGATCACTGCAATTTTCAAATCACTGAGATGAAAAATCATTAATGTAGCTACGTATAAAATACCCATTTCTGATAAATTTAGACCAAATGATATTTTTAGGAATCAAAATTTCTGCAGCTTAAAAAAATTCTGCAGCTGAAGGCTGAAATATTGCAATAACCTGTTTTCCAGTTCAAAGCAGAATAGCAGCTTAAAATTGCATCTTCATCAACCATGACAACATATTCCAAGCAGATCTGATAACTCTTTCTCCTGGTATGCTTAAGCAGAGTTTGTTGGTAAGATTATTTCAGTTTTGTCTTTTCAGTATTATCTGTATAACATAGGAATTAATTATACAAATCATTCAGGCTGATTCTTCAGACTCCCACATTACTCCAGAAACATTTTGAATTACTAAGATGAATCAGATCAAACCAAGATTCCCTTCCCCCACCCCCTTTAGTTATTCAGATCATTATCTCAGCCCTCCAATTCACTTTGGCTAAGGATATGTCCTTACAAGACTTTCCAACCAGGTATTAAGAGAAAAATGTAGGACCAAGTAAGCCTTTTACTTCCTACTCAGTTCAGTGCATCTTAGTACCAGCTCAGGTTGGTAGATGAAGACTTCCATGTCTAAAACTTCTAACCTGGAAGTTATTAATTTAGAATAACAAAGAGCCCTTCATATTTTAAGTATTTGCTTTAAGATTTAACATAGTGAGTCCTTTTGGTTTATATTTATTATAATCTGAGTTACACACAACTTAATAAGATTTGTCTCAGGGGAAGAAATGAAAACACTCTAGAATGATACTGTCTATTTTATTCTTTCCTGAATTATCTATATAGCTCAAGAGGAAGCTGACCTGTAGATAGACTCAGATAGATCATTTCTACTGCCCTATTTCACCAAACAATTCCCAATTCTCCCCTACACTGTGTGCTGGAAGGAATGGTGAAAGGGAAGACAGTACCTTCTAAAATTACCCTCCTGGCTACTCTTCTCTATCTCAATAACTAAGAGTCACCACATAACTTGTAAATGTATATTCCAAAGCCCAAAAGCAGAAGCTTCCAAGAGGACCTCATTCCTCCTCAATACTTGTCTTTTTCCTTTAAACAAGGAAACCTTATGTTAATGGAGAGATTATTGAAAGTCTCCTTGTAAGCCCCTGAATGCCACTTCACAGACCACAGAGAGTAGAGTTCTATGAGGGGTACAATGAGATCAACTCATCTTTTTGAAAAGCTCAGCATCAGCCTCAGAGAGAACTTAAATTGTTCCAGCTCTTAGGTCTCTATTAAAAGATTATGAGTCAGTACTTATGGCACTGTGAGTCCACTTCACAAGTTCATTGTGCAGAGGTAGACATGCTAAAAAGCAGGACTTAACTCTGACATTGCATTCAATTTCATTTTTCAAACAAGTCTATAATACTATGTGCTTACTCTGAAATGTATTCTTCTCAGTAACAGATATAGAGGAAGTACATTTAAATAAAATGCCTAATACCAAGGATATATGTAACTTAGGAAATAAATGTACCAAAAATCAAACAGAAATTTAAAGCATGATGAGGATTGCTGTAGATACACAATGCTCTAGTTTAAAAAAAGAGATGTTTACTAAAAAAACCTAAAAAGTTGAGAAATGAATTACTAAAGATGATATTCTAGACAGCTAGCAGATAGTAAATTATATTCAAAATTAAATTTTTTAATAGTAGCCGACTGGCACACCCCAGGGGTCACCACTGGTAGTAAGAGCTACATATATGGTGCCCTCTGGAGTTGTGCCAATAGAGAGCCATGTGCAGAGTTCAATGTGACAAGTGCCTCTTGTATTCTATAAGGCAGTTGTACTTTTTGATAATGTAGAAGGCATGCTAAGGAGCTCTGGTAGCTTTGTGGTGAGGAGTTGTGCTGCCAACTCAAAAGCTCACAGTTCAAATCCACCAACTGCTCTGCAAGAGAAAGATGGGCAATCTCCTCCCTTGGAATTTACTGCCTCTGAAAACCCACTGAAGGGTCAGCTATGAGTCAGTTCTAATTCAATGGTACAGAACAACAGAACACACGCCAAGGGTGCTGAGTGTGTTCAGATTATTGCTATGAAATATGGATAACAATTTTACAGTGCGCAAAAATTCAGGTATTGGATCACTGTTTTGAATTCTGGAGTGTTCTGGTTAATTTTTTATACTTGAGTGAGCTGATTATAAATCTATACTTATAATAAATCTTTTACTATGCCACTAGCAAGGTAAATACACTGAAATTGGATCCTATTTAGCTTCCTAAATATGTAAATAGAAATACATGATTAACAGAAATGGCTTGCTTACATATTTTCTAAAGGTAGTCAAGTGTTAAACCTATTGCTTCTCCTGTAGCAGTTTCTATTATAAGCAGGCCAGATTCTCACTTTAAGTAAACCAGTTTCAGAGAGCAGGAAAGTAATTCTAGTTTAATGAAGGAAAGAACAAAATTTCATTTCTTGGAAAAAAAAAGAGAAAGAAGACATCTCTAACATTAGTTTGTTCTGTTTTTCTTTTTTAAAAACCTCATTACTGAAACATTTTTTTTTAAACTGGTACATGTGTCAAGACCTTTAAGAGACCAGCTCTGCTGGAATAAGAGAATTGCTAGAAAGTTACTTGGAATGGCCCATAGACAATAACTGTCCATGGTTTCATTTCAGGCAATGGGCTTATGCCAAAAAAGACTGACATCTTGATGAAAGGATAACCAAAATGTTCTGAGATGTTTTCTTCATGAGTAAAAATCTTTCCAAGAGCAACAAGTTGTGACTTCTCAATCTGCCACCATACATAAGTGACAAGTATAAGATATTAATAACTTGCAAAATTAATTTGCATTTGGTTTTCTGCGAGTGGCTCCAGCTTTCATTTGGTTTTGGCACACATGTTTGCCTCTACAAAGTTCATTCTACTCACCACTACAGATACATAACATTTACTCTGTTTCCTTTATCTATATGGTCATAATTGGCAGCACCAGTATTTATATTTATCTCATCTAATTGAATACTTACATGTAAACCTTTATGATCTGTCTATGGTGATAAAGAGTATATGAGGTTCTAGCATAAACTAGAAAGGAAGTAAATGTGATAAATCATGGCAAAGAATAATTAAGCAAAAATACTTTGTAAGATTCCATTTTATTACCATCCTATTTCTATATAACAATGGTTAAGGATTTTAATGTGAAGTTAGAACTTTTTCACAAAATAAGCTGCTTAATTTTATATTCACGCCTTTTATTCTTTTACTTCAAGTTCCTTAATCATTATCAAACTAAAACCACACATGCATTTATTATTTGCTATTCTGACACCCACTTGTTGAAAGGGTAGGTGAGGCACACTCACTCACAGAACACTTACTTGTTAATAACATTCAAAGTGAACTCATTTAATTGCCTCTGATTCATTTTTATCCTTGGAAGCTTAGACTTGGGTGGTTCTCAAAGAAAACATCAAGCATATCAGATTCAATTTTGATTCATTAAATTCCACCCTCGTTTAAAAGAAAAATGAAAACTAAATTTAGAAATCACACATTGCAAGTGACAAAGGTGTTTTAAAGAGTACAAACATCTGCAGGAGGACATACTGTACTTGACTAAAAAGTTTTATGAGGCTTCCTACTTACATATATTTTTCAGTTAGACATTATCTCTAATGAGAATATTCTTACAGAAATGAATATATTCATTCAGATATTTTTAACATGCACCCCAACTATTTCTTTATTTAAATCAGTTAATTAAAACATTGAATTGCCTTCTCTATTAGTCATAATCTTTGTCAAACCTTGTTAGATTGTTGTTTAGAGGTTGATATGCTTAAGGTAAAAGTGAGCAGATGTCTCTCATAGTCAAAATCAGCAAAAAGTTAATACAAATTATATTTAAGACACAACAGACACAGCATATTAGTATGAAATCCATACTTTCACATATCTTGTTCTTAAAGACAATGCATGTTGTAGCTATTTGATCAGTTCCACACAAACTCCTGATTCTGGCTGTATATAAAGACACATTGCTTTGTTTGAGCCCTGAGGCTGTCACCCTTTCCATGAATGTCACAACACATCACTCTTCTTAAAGAACAGAATGGTTTCTGTTGTTTGAGTTAAATAAATCTTCTCTTCTAAAAAAGGAATTTCAGTTTCCTATTCAAAATGATTGAAAAATGCAAAGATCTTAAATCATCACATCCAATTCCCACAAATTACTGTACTTCAAAACCCCCACATACTAGTGCAGAAGCTTTTAAAGGTCAGATGGGGTGGGAACAATGAAGGGTTGAAGAGAGGTGAAGGTGGGTGGTGGATATTTATAAGTAATAAAGACTTGATAAGAAGGTATTGAGAATTCCCTCTGATGACCATATCTTACCATTTCGAGAATCTTAACAGTCCTGGGCTTGCACCCTCCCTCTCTTCAGTCCAGGGAGACCAACCTGCAAAATACGTTTAAATACAGTAGACAAACAGCCTCACCACATGTCAGCAAATGAAAAATGCCTCTTGCAAGGTTTCAAACAGACAACCATTTTCTGCAGTTAAGGTTAAGTTGCATGCAAATTATTGCCACCCCTGCGGCTTCTGAAAGAACTTGCCAGGCTTTGGGCTTAAACTGGGGACAAAGGAATCCCTAGTACCTAGATTTGCAGAGTCCTGGGCTATTCTTAGTGTTGGGTTCATTTTTAAATTGCACGAGTTCAAACGGTTTAGCAACTTAAAAGTAGAATCAAAAGATATAAATAGATTGTTTTCTGGCTGCTCTTTGTTCCCAGACATACTACTGGCAGTATATTTGCAATCAAGACAGCAGAACAGGAATCAGCCTTCCACTGTGTAGTGTAATGCCTCAGAGTGGGTATTTTTGGAAATGGCACTGCATTACATAACCTTCCGTGTATTAAAAAAAAAAAAATCTACACAGCGTGTGTGGGGGAAGTCAGGAATATACACCATTATACCCTTCTCCCTACACAAAATAAACATTAATGTACACGCTGCTGTGGTTTCCCTCTCAACCTTCAAGTCATCAGAACAGATTTCTTTTGTTAGCATAAGTTACGACAAAAATGAAGATCAATGGAAAAACTAAAACTTCTCACAAAAGGTAGCCTAAGCTCTCAGGGTATTTCCATAACATTACTACTGATACAAAGAAATGCAAATCAGTTTATTACGGTCATAAAAAAAAAAGAAAAAAGCTCATTTATTGGAAAGCGTCCTTTACCTCTTCAAAGTTTAACTGCTTTATAAGGGGGGGGGGAAGAGAAGAGGGGGAAGTGTTGCAAGATTAATGCTGAAAGACCCTTGGTAGCAGCACTGAAAGAGTAACCATTTGTCAAGGTGGACAAAATATCCTTTTATTTAAAAAATGAGGGGATGGTGGGCTTGCATGCACTAAAGTGCATATTTAAATGCAAAGAGTCAAAACTGTTTCTAGCAATGCTTTATGAGCAAGAAGAACAAAAACTGCACACACCAACAAGCAAAAAACCCCACCCCTTCCCCAAAGAATTGAATGCTTTCTTAACTTGTGAATTTTAGAAAAAAAAAACAACACAAGTTAAATGCCACCCTTAATGCAGCAGGAACAAAATGCCAGAATTTCTCCAAAGTATATCTCCTTACAATTTTAAAAAGCAGCATGAACTCTGCAGGGTTGAAGGGTCCAGCTAAGAGCAACAGCAAGGAATAGACACAAAAAAGAAAGCGGCGCTCCCGGTCAGGGATAGGAATGGAAGATACTTACAGACAAAAGCCCCGCTCCCTGTTCACTCTCTCTCCTCTCTACACCTGAAACACAAATGTGGATGAAAAAGGGCATCATGCTAGAAAGACAGCTGGGGGGAGGGGGGAAAGCAAGGGGGAGGGGAAAGGGGTGGAGGTAGAGGAGAGAGGAGGGGGGAAGGGAAACAAAACCCAAACCGGCTTTACTTCCAAGAAGTGCAGCCTAGGGAAAAGCAGTGGAAGGTTTCTCTGCCTCGTGCTCTGTGTCTCCTAGTGTGTGTGTGCCTTTTTCTTTCTCTAAGAGTGTCCCTCTTCTCTCTCTTCCTCTCTCTCTCTCTCGCTGCTGCTAGTGAACAATGAGCTAATTCTGATGTTGCTGGCGCGGCGCCAACGCCCCAGCCTCGCTGCCACTGTGCTGCCGCCGCGGAGCCAGACTGCTTACTCGGCAGGAATCCGAGGCTCAGGGCCCCATCGGCGAGCGGCCAAGGCGCGCGCGCACCGGCTCCCCGCACCTCGGGCACCCCGCTTGCAATGCCGGGACCCTGGGAGACAAAGCGGGCCCATCGGCCCGCGCACCGCCCTGGCCCCGCCCCGGGAGCACGGCGTGCACACACCCGGTCCCTGCCTCTCCCGCCCCCAGCGGACTTCGCCTCGACGTGCGGTTGCTTTTCAGACAAATAAGGAGGCAGAGGAGGCGGTTTGGGGGCGCGCCAAGCGTGAAGTCGGCCAGGGCGCAGAACAGCCCGGCCGCCCGCCAGGATCGCGGGGAGAGGCGGCGCGGCCCATACTGTAATAATAAACCTGCAACAGAGGGCATCTGAGGGAAAGAGGACGGCCACGGGCGGCAGCTGCCTTCCCTTTTATGTGCCTGTCCGGAGAAAATGGTGCCTAGGACTGCTCAGAGCCGCACACACAAACACACAAAGAGCCGACGCCGCACGCGTTTGCGCACGGCCCCAGGTCTGCCCCGCCGCCCCAACTGGGTACGCGCGCTCCACGCCCGCCCGGGGAAACCCGGGACCGGGAGCTCCCGCCAGCCAGACGCAGGGCGCAGAGCTGCGCGTGCACATAGTGCGTGCTGTGCACACACTCCCGCATCCAGACACACTCATGCACACACACACGCGCGCGCGCGCGCAGAGAGCAAGAGCCGCGGCCTGTTATGGTCATCAGCACACTCTCATGCTTTCTTTTTCTTTCTTTGCCTCTCTGTAATTGGACTTTTCTGACATTGGAGATTGCTCAAAAAGGCGGAAAAAACCAAAAGCAAAACCCTCAATGCTTTGCCCTTTCTGAAAGTCTTTTTTTAAAATAGAAAAATCTCTCTCTTCTTAGTAATAGAGCTCAATATTTTGCTATAAACTCCAGCACACTGCTTTTGTTACCATGAATGCAGGATGTCATTTTGTCGTAACTGCAGGAGAGTTAAAGGGTAAGATTATTAGATTATTTGCTAATTAAATTGATTCACCGAGGCGGGTAGAATCATAATGTCTTCTAATTTTACCATCTGAATTTTATCTCTAATTATCGAAAGCAATATTTACAGTTATAACAAAATAAAAGAAGGAAAGAACTTACATAACAATTTTTAAACGTATGTTTATAGGATTTTTTTTAGTTTAAGTGTATTTCGTACAGAAACAACCTTAAAGTGCAACATCTGTATACTGTATGTATATAAAAATAAATTGTGTTAATTAGAGCAACAACAACAATGGATAACCTATACCTTTCACACTGCTAAAATCGCAGCAAATATCCATTAGACTGCCTGCCACTCCGTGTGATATTTAAGGAGCCACCTTAAGTTTTCCAAAATGAATTTGAAATATCACAGTCATTTTCCTGAAGGGAAACCCCCACAAAATCCCCCAATTTATCTGAGGCGATTTCTAAATACAAAGAGCATAAACAAAACTTTACAAACCTCTTTGATGCCTTCAGGGTCAGCGCTCACCTACAAGATCTGAGGCGTTAACTGGTTGGTGGGAGCTGGGAGGTGTCTGGAAGCTGCTTCTGGGCTTCTGGAGCTGCCAACTAGCTGCTCAAGGACACTTCAACATTGAGAGCTATGCATTTACCTCAGGATGGGTGCCAAAATACAAACAAATAAAAAGCCCCAAGGGAGTACCACCACATTGAAGTCTATAAAAAAAAAAAAAAATTTAAAAAGCACCAGGAAGCTATTTTTAAAAGTTGGTTCTAAAAGTGTGTATACATGTGAGTGTGAGAGTATGTGTGTGTGTGTTCCAGACAATAATAGCCATCCAAGAAACATTACTGAGATGCTTCCAAGTGTAGGAGGAACTATACTAACCTCAAGGGATATAAGCAAAGTCACGCCTATCATTTCACTCAGGATCTGTTGCTTTTTCAAAGTCATCCTGGCTGCTGTGCTCCTCTGCTTAGCCTACAGATAGTATGGGAAAACCACTCTATTTTAATCAGGATACCCTTGATCTGTTATAGGATGAAGACTTACATTTAGCCTTCCCCTGAAACTCACCATGGCCAGATTACAATCTTAACTTTCTGCCCTTATAGGGAGCTCTGGTGGCCTATTGTTATGGAGCTGGGCCACCAGCTCAAAGGCACCATGGTTCCAATCTATCAGATGCTCCAAGAGAGAAAAGTGGGGAATCTCCTTCCATGTAATACTGCTTCTGAAAACTCACTAGAGGGTCAGCTGCAGGTCACTTCCAATTTGATGATACACAACAACAACAACTCCCAGTATCAGTCTGATTGCCTATGGTGCATATTCATCTCTAGACCATTAACAGTTAGGAAGCAAAGCTATACATTGATTTTGATGTATGTGTGTTAGGGATGTGTGTGATTGTGTCATATACTACAGGATGGTTAGGAACATCTCTGACCTCTGCCCACTGGATGCCAATAGCAAAGCCAAGTTTGAACGTTACTAAATATTCCTTGTGGGACACAAAACTGTCTCTGGTTGACAATTACCCCTGACTTAAGAAATCAAGTCCATTTCTTGAGTCATGTGGATTGCATGAGTGAGGGACAGAGATCTAAACCAAATTAGAGTTTGCTTAGAAAAAAGAGCCAAGTTAAGTGGGCAGTGCCCTTATCTTCAGGGAATTTATAATCAGGGTAAGAGGACAGGGACACAAAGCCAAAGTTAGGAGTCAGTGTGTTGAAAACAATTATAGAGTTCTTCACAAGGTTTTCTGAACACAAAGCTGCTTTCTAAATCAGACCAAAGATTCAAAGAAAGTGTCCTAACAGAGGTAATGCTGATTGTGTGAAGAATGAGCAAGTTAGCATTTTGAAGAAGAGGAAAAGGGGTATTCTGAGCAGAGGCAAGGAGAACATGAGCTAAGAAATGTGACTAAAACCTGGAGATGTTCGTTGATGATTTTGAAGATATATATATATCTCCCTAATCAGAACCTCATCTTGTGTCAAGATCAGATTATCAAAGGCTAAATAGTCCATGAGAGGATTTGTTCAAAATGAAGAATGTTCTTTAGAAGAATGTTCTTTAGACAATGGTTTTCCCTTCAAGCCCTCTTAGATGTTTTATTCTCCAGTGCATCCAGTTGTATCCAAATGTATCTGTTATGTGTATATTCATTTTTTTTTAATTTTAGCGTGTTTCATGGCTTGGGGTTACAAGTTTCATAAATCTAAATTTCAGGTGAGAGGCTGTATGGATAGCAAGGCCAGCTTTCTATGGTCTTCAATAGTATTTTAGCTACCATGTCTCTGGCTTTAAATTGGAGTTAAATCAAAGTACCAGAGTGTTACAAGCATTATGTGAAATTGTATATAATATTAGCATTAGGTGTGGTAGCAACAGGTATTAGGGAAGTTTTATAGAACACTGTTCTTGCTGTAGGTGTTCTCAAGTCTACCATGACTCAGAGAGACCCTATGCATGACAGATCTAAACTTTTCCCTCTCAAGCACTGTCCTCACAATCCCCACATTTTCAAGCGCAATACTGCAGTCATTGTATTAATTCATTTTGTTAAGGGTCTTTCTGTATTTTGCTGAAACCTCTGCTTTTCCAGCATGATGACCTCTCCCAAGGACTATATTCTGCTGACAGTGTACTCAAACTATGTGAAATAAAGTTTCACCATCCTTGTCTCTAAGGAGCACCCTGGCTGCAATTTCTCTCAGACAGACCTGTTTGTTCCTTTGGCCCTTTATGAGAAATTCAGTATTCTTCTCCAACACAATTCAAAAGTCCTGATTCTTCTTTGGTCTTCCTTATTCATTTTCAAACTTTCACTTGCGTAGGAAGCAACAGAAAATGCCATGGCTCAGATGACATTCACCTGATTCTTTAAAATGGTATATGTGCTCTTTAGCTTAAATACATCCTCTCAGTCAGTCACTCACTACCATCAAGTAGGAACCAACTCATAGCTGACCCTCTAGTGGATTTTTGGGAGACTGCAAATTCAACTGAAGAAGATTGTCCACCTTTTCCTGTGGTAACACTGGTGGTTTTGAATAACCAGAGAGGTACACCTTTGGATTAGAAGCACAATTTCCTAAAGACAACACCCAGAGTTCATAAAGACATCCTCGTCAGTAGATTTGTCCAATGTAACACATTATTATAGAATAAAATAGAAGCTGTTTTATAAAGGACCCCTACCTCTCTTTCCAGCTTTATTTCTTCTCTTTGCCGTCATTCTCATTGAAATGAATGATGCACAGCTACCCAATTAGTCCTACTGTGGCACGACTCTTGGACTTTAACTTTCTGTTCCCCTTGCCAGAATGCCCTTTCTTCCTTCTAGTCACTAATTCTTGCTCATCAGTCATACTTCCAGTTCATGCATCTCCTCCTTTAGAAAGCTATGTGAACACCTGGTGTGATTGAGAAAGCAGACTGTGTGTTCACAGGAAACCCCATGCAGAACTTTATAATTGTCCTCATCACGCTGTCTTGTGACTTTAGCTTTATTTTTCTGTCTTAAACAGGGATCTCTGGTGGTCTAGTGGCACAGAAGCTGCTGTGCAATCCCAAAGGTATGCGCTTTGAGGCTAGCAGCTGCTCTGCCAAAGGATGGGCAATCTCCCATGTAATTAATTGCCTCTGAAAACCCACCAGAGAATCAGCTA